GTTAACGGAGCCAAACGTATGGTTGTATTGAATGGCATAACAGGGATAACACACACCATGTTTTGAATGAGGCATTGAATGAATGCATTGAATGTGTGTTTAATTAATACTAAATAATAAATATTGCATTCAATTGAATGGACGACTGAATCGAGGTTTCGGACAAACATTTAGCCATACATTCACTGCAATACAAACCATACAAACGTTTGCCGCAAACCATTCAATACAAGCCTTGTCTCAGACCATCACATATTGACCACAAATGGACGACTGAATCGATGTTTCGGACAAACATTTAGCCATACATTCGCGTCAATACAAACCATACAAACGTTTGCCGCAAACCATTCAATACAAGCCTTGTCTCAGACCATCACATATTGACCACTCATTTGTGGCGAAGAATATAATCGCAAACCAATTGTCAATTTGTGTCACCGAAGAAGCAGTGGTCGCGAAGAAGCAAATAGTCATCAATTGATTTGCATTTGTTTTGTTGTTTAATTTGTTTATTGTTTTTATACATTAATTGTTGATATTTTATATAAATATATTTACTATTTATTATCCGTTGTATTGAATGGTAAGTCGAAGTGATTCCTCCTCAGCCGTGACGCCAACTCATATCTGACTCGTGTCTGTGTTTTATTTGATCCCAGAGTTGTCACTGAAGTCCCGAAAATAACGCAACCTTTTGATTGGCCGCCGAAACGATGATTGTGGAGAACACGGAAGCGTTTCGCCATTGGCTCAAGAGCTGTCTGGAACCGCTGTAAGTGATGGCCAATGTTTGCCATACATAGCGTCTAATTGTTATTTATTGATGAAACTAATTGTGTGTCTTTCAGCTGTGATGCGGATCCGGAAGCGTTGGCCAAATACGTGATGGCGTTAATCAAAAAGGATAAACCAGAGAAGGACTTGAAGATTATATGTTTGGATCAGTTGGAAGTGTTTCTCTCCTCTCAGACCATTACATTCGTTGAGACACTGTTTGAGGCGATCGGTAATAAATCATACCTAAACTCAGCGCCGACGGCACCGCCGGTCCCGACACCGACCCCATCGATAACCGTCGCCCCGAAGGCGACGATACAATTGTCGGCGCCGAGCGTCCAGTCAGAGGCCTCGTCGTCATCGACGGTGATGAAGAACCCGGAGATATCATCCGTTAGTAACACTAATAGTCGATCGGAACAGCAGTCTAATAGTCAGTCGACCACTAAAACCGAATCGACTCACGAGTCCAACAAACCCAGAGATAAGCGGAACCGAAGCCGAAGTAGGAGTCGGTCTCCTCTGCGGAATACCCGCCGCAATGAGTTCGACACCAGACGGTTGGGTCCGATGCCTAACAATCGCAACGGAAACACGTATTTCAATGACGACAGACGTAATCGTCGCGGGAATGGCAACAATCGGAGGGCCGGCTCTCAACGCTTCGGAGGCAACAGTTATCGCAACGAAAGGGATTACAGACGCGGACCAAAGCGCGGCCGTTCGCCGAGTCCGCGATCGTTCTCCAGCGGCTCCGCGTCGCCCAACAGATCCAGGAGTCGGTCGTGGAGTGGAGATCGCGACCGCCACTCGCCCTCTAATAAGAGGAGTCGTCCCGCCTCTCGACCCGCGTCTCGATCTCCCTCTCCATCGAAGGCCAACACAAAAGACGCGGAAAAGTCGAAGAAATGCAGAGATTATGAAGAGAAGGGGTTCTGTCTGAAAGGCCATTTGTGTCCCTACGATCACGGCAACGATCCCGTCGTTCTCGACAGCAATGTGTCCGCCGCTCTCGGCTTCACTAATACCAACCCAACCGGCGCTCCAATGCATCCGATGCCCGGACCGGGAATCCCGCCGAACGCTCCCAATTCCTATTTGGCCGAACCATACAATCCGGAAGCGCCCGGAATGGACCCAAACGTTCAACGACCACATCCGCCGCCCCCCGGAGGACCACCACCTTTAGGACCAAGAATGCCACCGCCGCCCCATTATTGGGGGCCAATGCCGATGAGGGGCCCAATGCCTGGTGGGCCACCCCTACCGCCGCCACAGTTTATGCCACCGCCCGGACGTCCGCGCGAATTGATCGGCGTTCCCACCATTGATAACAACGTCCGTCACAATCAACCCCTTTCTAATCGCACTGTAATCGAGCCAAATATCCCGATGGGAGGAATGAGGGGTGGAATGAGAGGCGGGTATAAACATATGGGAAGAGGAGGCTATAGGAATGTGAGGAGAGTTACGAACGATAACTCCGATAAGACGTGTCTCGAAGTGCGAAAGATTCCCCACAATATGAACTCCATTTCACATCTAAACCAACACTTCTCTAAGTTTGGGACAATTGTTAATTTGCAGGTAAGGAACAGTAGTTTATGATTGTCTTATGTTTTGTCACTTGTCTTACCATAACTGTTGTATTGTGTGGACAGGTATGCCATGAGGGCGATCCCGAAGCGGCTTTAGTACAATACGCGTCGCACAACGAGGCGCTGTCCGCCATCCGGAGCACTGAAGCCGTGCTAAACAATCGGTTCATTAAAGTGTTTTGGCGGTCGAAAGACCAACAACAGACACACGAACAGACTTTCGGCCCTAAAACCGAGTCGACCGACGAGACAGTGAGTGCCAAGTCTAGCATCAAAGACCGTTTGGGACCCAAAGTGTCCGAAACGGAGAGTGTGTTGACTGCTGTGAACTCGAGCGGAACCATCTCTCGGACTGTCTTCGATCCGTCGAAACTGAAGAAAAACAACACAAATGTGAACAAAGACACCGCAAACGACATCAACAGTAAGTCTGTATTAAAGCCGACTTCAATGGTCACCAAAAACGCAGCCAATGAGAAGACGAATAAAACCCAAAAACAGATTTATTCAAAACAATATAATTTACTGAAAGAATTGATTACAAATCAAAAACAATTGATGACTAAATTGGAGAAAAGTACGAATGAAAACGAGAAGACCTCGATTAAAGAGACCATCGATGCCATCAGCACTAAAATACAAGTTCTTTACGATTCCATCAGTAAAGTGATGTCCGACAAGAAGATCGTGAAGAAGCCACAGACCAAAGAGGAGTTGATGGAAGAGCTTCTGGACACTGATTTAGATATGTTTATTAAGATGCAAAACAACGACATGAGTTACGTCGAGTTGGCCAACAAATTCGCTAAACTCAAGAAGAAGGAGAAGACGTTTTCGCACAGAGGAGGCGGCGGTCGCGGAGGCGTCCGGACGTATGCCCAGCGCAGAGGTCGCGGTGCGTACCCCCGGAGGGGCGCTTTTTCACCGCGCGGTACGAATCCACTGCTGAAAGTGGACCGAAGGACCAGAAAATTGTTGATTCCCGACATCAATGAGGACGACATGACTGATCTTCTCGAGCATTTGGCCGTAAGTTTTTGTTATCAAACCGTTTTTATTATGCGTTTCGTTGCAACGCTTTTATCGCATGAATGAAAACGAAGTGAAAGCCAAATGATTACTGATTATTGTCGTCGCCGTCATTCAAAGTGATTGATATTTGTTTGATTCGTGTATTTGTATTAATCAGTATTTGTTTTGTGTTTTCTTATCGTTTTTTTGTTGTGTTATTTGTATTGTAAGCCGAGATATGGAGAGCACGGCCTGTATTTGAAGTGCAAACAGATTTCTCGCCTTTGAATGAATTACTAATTTCATTGAGCGCTCGCAACGTTTGCTATAATAACCAATCAATGTTTGCGTTGATTTTGAGAATCGATAATTAAATGATTGATTTTTGAATGTAAACGTGATTAACAAACATAAATAATTTGACTGTAATTTGTATTTAATAGCAATTCAGTGACGTCGAGGTAATCGAGCCGTCGAGTAGCGGAGCGTTGGTTACGTTTAAGACGCGAGTGGACGCCGAGAGAGCGACACAAAACATGTCTCAAATCAAGTTTAAGGAGAACTTACAGCTCACGTACTCCTGGTTTGACGACAAGATCTCCAAATTGGATAAAAATACGTTAACTAAAAATATCAGTGAATCCAAGTCGGAAAACGATGGCAACGATCGTGAGGTAAGTCTTAAGCACTGATTGTTATCAGATATACAAATGGTTAATAATACTGTTTGTTATGCAATGAATAGTTGGAAGGTTTGGGTGAAGAACTGCTGGACTTCGAAGAAGACGACACCGAAGACGAGAGCGAAGCCCGCAATTGGAAGGCCTGACTCTCACTCTTGAGATGAGACGTACAAAAAACTGATTAAATATTTGTAAATTAAACGACTTTAACATTTGTGTCAATAATAATAACATATATTTTTAAAATGTTTAGTTTAAAAACAGCACATAATTTGTTTTAATTTTATTATTTTTGTGTTCATATTATCACTTTATTTAGACTATAATTTAAATGTTTTAAAATAAACTATTGAAAAGCAATTTATTATAACAAATTGTATTGTATTGCTATATATATTATATATATAATTATATATATCATAGTAATTGTCGCTATATTTAGTTATATATTATAAATCCAAAAATGAATTCCTTGTAATATTTGATATTTTAAAGAATGACATTAATCTCTGAAAGAAATTCTATATAAATATGTATACAATTTATTTCATAAATTTAATGAATTTGATTGAAAAAATAGAAAAATAAAAATTTTATCATAAAATGATTTCCTCACAAAAAACAAAAGAGGGAATCGTTTTAATTATTATTAACAAAACCTATAAATGAATTGTATTTTTTGCTCTCTCTCTCTCTCTCTCTCTCTCTCTCTCTCTCGGCAATCATTTGATTGAATATAATTTATGAGTTAACAAATACAGAGTGAGTATTGGAAGCGATTGAAGCAATAAATAAAGATTAAGCGCATAATTAAATTGACGATTCGTGTTATGAGGTGCAGGACTCAAGTCATACTACTTGCATAAATTGAGCACAGAATTTAAAATGATTATTAATTAACTATATAAATGATTAACATTAATATGATTCGCATACATATTTAATTAATTAAATTAAAAACAATGCCATCATTTATAATGGTTTCTAATAGATATTGAATATACAGTATTATTGCCAAATGATTTATGAGAAGACTTATGTCTAAGAGCTTATATCGAAGAGTTGTATGTATTTAAACACAAAGGGAGAGCGCCTATACTTTTTTGGGCACAAAAAAACTTGTCAAACATTTGGCGTTGACTTTCAATTGATTGCTAACGTCTGAGATATGTTGAAAAGTCGAATAAATAGATCGATCGGTGATTTCAGAGAACTTTTTTATGACTATTTTTAGAGATAACTCCATAAAACAATGCATTAAGGAATGGTTGCCATCATTTTATTGGTAGTATAAGTACTTTTCATTGCCTGCAACTGAACCAACACAACCAAAACACTACCAATACTAGCAATTCTTGTGCACAATTACCAGCACCTATACCTCTCAATGGCCTTTTAGACAGATATTGGTGTTTTTTAAAACGCTTAAAATCTTAGAGACCAATAAATATCTTCTTTTTCTCGTTGTTAGCGTTTGTCATCTTTTTTATAGGTTTTATGCCTTAAGACAAACACAAAAAAGCGAAGAGATTTAAAAAGAGATGTCGGCTTTGAAAGAGCGGCTCAAATGTATGGCAAATGCAAACCAAAGGCACGAATTATTGCTGTCAACAAATTGTGGAGAAACGCCTTAAGTCTCACCTAAAGTCAGCCCTCCCTTCCCTTCCCAGAAATATAAGTATTTATTTTAAATTACACACACTTTGCCGCTACTCCTTGTCAGTCGGCAAAAACTTAAGGCCTTAAAGTGCCTGCGACTGTCCGCACACACACTCACTACACCAACACTACACCAACTCTACACCACCAACACTACCAACAACTCACTCACAACCACTGCCAGGACCCCCACCTCTGCCCTCCCCTCCACTCTTGTAAGAGTCGTTTTTCTTATTCTTGTAGCGATCCAAACAAACTGATGGACAACATGTCGATCAATTTGAAACACCGATTGGCAATAGTATTGAGGACTACAAGTGAGGCACCCATGCATGTGGGTGTTCGGGAGACAAACACTCACAACCATTGCCATACCAGTGCTCTAACTGTGCCCCCGAACCGCTCACATCATACCCACATCGGCTCTTCTTCAGTCGTTTTTCCCATTAAAAACAATTGTAAGATATTTTGCAATCAATTCAAAGGCAATAAAAATATTCGGAGCAAAACATGAGCGCTAAGAATACGAGTATGTTTTGGTTATAATTGATAAAAAAGTAAATTTAATGACAAATTGCGGCCAAATCTTATCAATTGTAAGAGAAAAATATGAATTTACTTTTTTCTTGACGTTTGAAGTTATCGTCAGAAGTCATGAGCTGTTGTCTCCACTAATTTCCAGACTCTGGTCCCAATGTTTTACACAATGCGTTCACTTATTATCATTGAGTCGTAAATTAATATAAAATTAGTTTATCTTTAATTAGCAAATCATAAAATTGCAGAAAAATTTTTATTATATTTGATGTGAAGCGAAGAAAACAGTATCCGAAATATGTGTTCATACGAACTGATAATGAAATTAATGTCATTCGAGAGGGAATTTTCTTCCTTTGAATCCTATTGTTATCACTTATTTGTTTCGTCCGTTTTATATATTTCTGTGCCTTTTTTATTAGTGAAGAACAGAAAAATCATGAGTTATTATTACAAAACAATTTCAATGAACAAAATAGATAACAATTTATAACAATTAAATTTAAGATACAGTATTTTTATATAGATCACTAATTAATTTATTAAAAACAGTATTTAAATAAACACCATTAATATTGTAATTAACCAATAAATTAATAACCAGTAATGGTTTAAATACTCGGAATTTAATTATATTTTAATTTAAAGGTCATTGAATTCAAGTGAAGAATATTTGCATTCAAAATGAGAACTCAATTCATGACAATGTATTTGAACGGCATTTGAATACATACGGCAGAAGTCAGTAAAGATTAACACATGAAATACAATAGAAAGAAAAGTATTAGTGAAGTGTAAGTCGGGATTTGAAAGTAAAACTCTATAAAAGGGATTACAATTAAAGCAAATCCTGAAAACGAGAGCTATATTTATAAAAATAATATTCGGCCGACAATTAAAGGTGTATTGAACCCATTGTCTGTGTTGTATGAATGGCTGGAGTGTCCGTCTAATTAGAGCAGACATTTGGGTACCCGTCCTGAATGTTAGTACTCAGGGATTATTAAGTGTATGGTTTGATCAGGAGATCGGAATCCGAGATTTCTTTTAATTTAGTTTTCATTTCCATTTCGGAGTCGGAGTGAAGGGAATAGTAATCGTCCTCTCGGGAGAGATTGGCGGCTCATGTAATGCACGGCATTTCATTTGGTCTCCAACTCATGGCTGGGCCTCTACTCTACTCAATACAATTCATGGCTCGTGCCTTACATTCAAACCCCTTCAACATAATACACAAACTTCGCTCTGCACTCAATTCAGTGGACGAGTTGGACATCACTTGAATGGATATGTCGTTAGCACTGACCTAATGGTCGCCGCTATCATCCCATGAATACCAAAAGACTTATCAATTTTATTTGATTGAGTTTTTCGTATTCAATCGACAAAAAGTTTTTGAGGCGAAATGTAATTGTCATGAATAGCAGCGGAAAAGGCTCTGTATTTCAGGCAATTCATAACAAATGCAATACATATAGACATGAGTGTCGGAGCGCTGGCGAAACATTACCACAATTTTGATTTCTTTGCCACAGATTTGCGGCTCAATATACGAGTCACTTGGGATGCGATAAAGTATATGCTGTTTATGTATATGTGTTGTGGTATATATTGGTCTTTATGCAGGCAAACAGTGGATCCCTTCCACACATTACCCAACATTTATGGCTGACTACAAATGTTAGGCCAAAATAATATGGTATATATTCTATACTCCAATCACATCTATATTTGCGAAAAGGCATAACATTTTGCAAACTATAGCCTAATCTACAGAAAAAGGCATCGATTCTGAAATTGAGTTTTCGGATGACATGTAATACTAATAAAAGTGTTTTCAAATTAAACTAATTTCGAGAAATAGTGTGGAAATAACTGCGGCGGCAAAAGGGTTGGGTGGATGACAATAGGCATGTTTCATCGCTGCCGGTGCGCTAATTTCATGCCAGTTTCATCTGGTGTTTCATTAGCTAATGAGTTTGTTAAGTGCATACAATCGGGTTATGATATGGCAATATAAATGACAGTATGTGTCCTCTCCTCATATGATGGTCATTGATGGAGCCTATGATGACCACTGACAGGCACTGACAGCCCAGATATGGACATCACTAGACTATGACCTCGTTTTGTGACTCTTTCGCTCCTCTCAGTCACACCAATACGTTGAATGTGTTGTAAATGCAGTGCATATACAGTAGAATATATGCATCTATTGGAGAAATTTCCTCACATTATCGAGAAATATCATTTGAATAGTCGGCGCCAAACAATGTTCAATTGGTTTCTAGTTTGGGTCAGCACTACAGACCCCTCTCATGCCAGTAATCATGCGGACAGAGGCTATGCATAGGCAATACATTGTGTATTTCTATTATCTCTGCCGACTATAGTATAGGCGTCCAAAGCTCCTACACATTAGGCGAGTCTCAGTGCGAGCCGTCTTTGAGTCTTGCGTTCAATACTGTATTTCTATATTAGTTTTATACCAAACGATATGAACTTCGCTGGACTTGGCTTTTGGTGTGGCTTTGGTTTGGCTCTCGGGTTATGTGATAACGTTTTTATCGATCGATTTATCTGATTGTCTAGAAATTGAAAGTCAATGTTTTGCCAATAGTTAACAATTCCAATGAAAACCCTTTAGTTTAATCTTAAAGTCAAAATAAAAGTCTACAACAACTCAGAATCTGAGACATTGTAACTCCAACTCACTTTTCGTGTGTCTATGCTTTTTACAGCAATCAATATTAGAATATGAGAGAGAGAGAGAGAGAGAGAGAGACAAAAAAGCGATAGAAAGAAACAAAAGGTGCGATTCCTGTGATTCCTTGTGATCCCAGGCAACTGTTATGTCGGGTTTTGTGTTAGGGTTTTATAAGAGAGAGAGAGAGAGAGAGAGAGAGAGAGAGAGAGAATGTATTTTTGTTTGGTATATTAAAGTTATAAATATCGAGATTAAAGCCTATGATTTAGTGAACAAGAAATACAAAGTCTTAGTTAGAGAATTATTGGCAGAGCTCTTGATTTAAGTATTAGTTTTTTAATTAATTGTTGAATACATAATACATATCATGGATAGAGAGAATGAGTGCATTTGTTTGCATTCAATAAATATTGTGTTATATAATATAAATTAGCCATTTAGTAGGTTTAGTAGGTTTAGTTGGTTTAGTAGGTTTAGTGGTACGGCTTTTTCCAAAGACAAGCAACTCTTCATATGATTGTATTGCTAACAGAATTCCCAATAGAAAGGCTGTGTTGATGGCAGAGGGAGTGTCTGGCTTTGGCTGATTGGACGGCTGTCGCTATGTTTGGCATTCAATGATAGAGTGATTGCGAGAATGGAGTGAAGTGTGGACTCGTATCGACACAGAGAGAAGTGACACTCTTATAGATGGGACTTATTGTCAAACGAGCCGTAGTTCTCATCCGACACTAATATATTATGGTTCACTACTATAACCCATGCAGTAATATGTTTCCATCGGGAGCCACAGCCATTCACCATCGCCTCCACCCGGCGGTCACCACTTCTTCGCCGAACTTTAACTTTGTTTCCACAACACTATCGCCCGGCGACCAGAATTGCTACCCTCTCTACACCAATAATAGCAACTCGAGTCCATCGGGCGGTCAAACGGTGGCCACACTGTCGAGTGGACCTCAATTGGGGTTAACCTCGTCGTCGCCGTCATCGCAGTATTCGCCAGAAATTGGCGCTCCGTTGCCGCCGATGTCTACGGAAGTTCTACAGCCACCGCCGCCCCCACCACTCGGAGGCCCGCATCACAACTCCTGGTACTCAATGGTTCCGCAACCGGGAGGCTGTGGGGGCAGGGGTTCAATGGTTGCCGCATCTCCTTTCGAAGAGTGGCCGACGCCTAACACTGGATCCCCGATCTCAGCGAGCAGTCCATGCATTTCTGGCTCACCGGTCAGTTCACTGCCTCCCTGTGCTTTCGCCACCGCTATGACAATGCCCTCGTCTTACGGCCAACCCATCCAAATGGGCGCATATCACGGCATACATCGGGCCGACCCCTACAGTGAACACCTTCACCATATCCCACATCACTATCACTCACATCCCTATCAAAACGCTGGTTTAATCGCTCAGATGAACAGCGAGGCCACGCCTGTCCATCCGAGTCCCGACTCGGGTCTCACGGCTTCGAGCGATGGCGCGGAGTCGCCGAACGGTCACCAAAACGACACCAACGGAGGGCTGACCACAACTCCCAACGGAACGGTCATAAAGAGCGAGAATAACTTGAATCGTCCGCAACCGGCCCGCAGTCCCTACGAGTGGATGAAGAAGCCGTCGTATCAGAATCAGATCAACCCCAGTAAGTGTAAGAGTCTTATGTTATGTCCACTTATTATCGCAACTTCTCTGTCCATCTCTTTCTCATATAACATGCAATTTGAGGCGCAAAGTGTTTTTCCCCACACATTAGTTAGGGCTCATCCATCGCCAGGCGTTCAGGCGGTGAGCGATAAGTGCGTGCGATTGTATCGGCGCTCAGATGTCTTACATGTTATGCCTCTTTATGTCTCTTTACATATCAATATATATATATATTGCGGCGAAAGTAGTGTACATTTCGGCCCATCGTATAGAAACAGCCAAATGTCAGTCACAGTCACGCTCTCCGCCAGATCTGTCACACACTCTCTCACTCCCTCCCTCTCTGCCTCTCTTTGCTCTCCCACTGCGAAAATATTCATCAATTTATAACTGTTGGGAGGGCTATAAAAATTTGGGAACGCATTCACGGCATGTCATTACTTATTATTGTCGCACTGGACGGACGGCCGGTGCTATTGCACTGCAAATGACTCAATCGGCCCACAATAGGCCCACCGCTATATTTCATACAATAAATTACAATCACTATTGTATTCAACACTCAAAACATTTTCAAACAAATTCTGTCTCTTTTTACACAGAATTTGTTACACAAACTTCTTATGCATTTTCACTCTCGCTATGCATCTGTAGTGTCGGCGCTGTGTTAGAGCTCTGGTAGTTGTGATTCACTACAGATATGGTTGAAATACCAACACATTGGATGTGTTAACAATTATTATGTTATGATATGTAGTGATAGTATCGCGCGATCCAAATGACAAACAGTTATTAATTGGTATCGATTATCAAGAATTGAGGGATTAATAGGGTTTACACAATCAAACACAACAAATAAATATAATAGCATTTGTATAGTATATTCTGTATGTATGTGTGTTTGTGTCTATAATGTAGCGCATAATTCAGTATTAGATTGTGTGAACAGTTGTGCAATAATTGCATTCATCCTCTATTCTACCACTAATTTATATGTTTGTATTTAAGGCTTTTGATGTAGTTTTTGCAGTGCAATCGCCTCACAATCGGCTACCTTTTTAATAGTGTTGCGACCACTTGAATGTCTTGTTATTAGTGTTGTGTGCGATTAGGGCCTGAGATAGCAGCTGATCCAGATATGGAGACATACCTGTCCCGCCGCCAGTCTATTCCAGGCTTACATCAAACTATTTGAATGCCGAACAGCTTTGATGTCGTAAATCCCCAGCATTTGTGTAATGTTTGCATAGCTATAGCGCCAAACATTGAAAACTATAAAACCCTAACACAAAACCCGACATAACAGTTGCCTGGGATCACAAGGAATCACAGGAATCGCACCTTTTGTTTCTTTCTATCGCTTTTTTGTCTCTCTTTCTCTCGTCGATCCCATTCGCAGAGTTAATGCAATGCTTTTTGCCAAACATTATTGACTTTGCATTAACTATGCATTCGTATCAATGACTCCAAACATTTGGTTTATTATTTGTTGCAAAAGTTTTTTGTTTCTGTTTCTCATATATTGTGGTTGTCTTTGCATTTGCAGCCAAAACGAGAACTAAAGACAAATACCGAGTGGTTTATAGCGATCACCAGAGGCTCGAACTCGAGAAGGAATTCCATTACAGCAGATATATTACCATAAGAAGAAAGTCAGAGTTGGCCTCATTGTTGTCGCTATCGGAACGACAGGTAAATATCAATATTACCATTAATTGCTCAAAAAATGTCATTATGTTCTGACTCTATGTTTGACATATTTTTAAGCGCACATAAAAAGCAAATATTATTGTGAATGCAATTAAATAATCAATTTTCTTGTCTTTTCTGTGTTGTTGTTTCGTTCGCCTCTCTTTAGGTCAAGATTTGGTTTCAGGTGAGACTTATTTGAAAACTATATATAATTTACATTTTTCTAAATCTATATTTTGTTTGAATCGATGAACAGAACCGAAGAGCAAAAGAGCGAAAACAGGCGAAGAAGAGGGACGAAGTGGTCCGTAAAGATCATCACAACAATCAGATATTGTTTTGAGTATTTGCCACAAGTTTTCATTATTATAATTATTATTAAATTTATTTGTTATGTTAGAAAATTACATTTTTTTCATTGAAAAACCCATTCATATATGTTGAATGTATTATCGTTTTATCCTATAATAAGTTAATAATACCTATGCCTTCACTTATGGTATCTATTATATAAATATCGTGTTATTATTTCTACGAGAAATGTAAGCAAATTTTTCATTATTTTTAAATATTATTATCGATTTTTTAAATTCAAGTATAAAATGTAAATAATATAAAGATATTCTTTAGTTATCTTAAGTTACAAATTATGTGACATTTTGTTGTCATTTCATTATTTCTTATATAATATGATTTGCTTTTAAATGAATTGAACAGATATTAAAATTCTTGTAAATATTATAAAATAAAGAGAAAAATAAATGATTTAATCCTTTCATGTGTTCTACTATTTAATTAT